GCCATAGGTAAAAGTGGACTCGTCCAATATTGGGTTACATGTTCACGTCTCTCCCGTCATTCTTCGATCCGTCATCCTTCCTATATCTCTTAAATTCCTATAAACTGACTTTGATACTTGATCGCACGCATTATTTTTGTGCTTCAACAATTCTTACTGTGCGCATGAGTCTACCTAGTAAAGAGAACGGACGCTGAGGTTGCCCGACAGTTTGCCCTGGATCTGTTGACGAAGTCGGACTACGTTACACGACGAGCGTACGAAATCGACCGTGTCTGCTCGAAATCTCAGGTAAATGAACGTTTCTAACAATAATCATCGATAACGATGGATATCTCATCGCCACGATATTGAGTCGCGCAATAGACTGTAAATTATATGCCTATATTATACGTAATTTAGGAGTCCCAAGTTTCGCACAGAGCGACGATATCGTAGACATGTGTGCGTTGGGTTATGTGACGTATAACGGATTTTCAATACATAGATCGTATTGTATGGGAATCTTCCCGGTGAGCGAAGCTAGATGTAGGCGTGTAGGAGTAATATACGTAATCGAAATCGAGATGGGACATAAAATTCGAGAATTGCCTTATCTCCAAACTTGGACTCGTCCAGAGTTCTCAACTGTCTTCTCTCGACTATTCTCAAGTCTACACCGTCCAATCGCGTAATAGTACGCAGTGACGGAACGGTAACCGCAAAAACCTATTACTTAATTATATTTGACAAAAAATTTTTTTATAAAATATTTTTTTTTTGTTGCAAAGTGTAAGCAAATGTATTGTCGAACGTTTATCAATTACGAAACAACGCAAAACAATATCGTGGAAAATTTGAGAACATTAAAATTCACGTAGTTTGCCCAGATTTATAAGATATATAAGGTCTGTTCACGAGTCCTCAGTCCGATCAATATCCTTAGTTTTGTTGTCCCAATAATATCGAAGTATATACGTATAGTACAACGGCGAACAATCGGAAATAGCGTATGTATTGTATTTTGATATTTTCAGTAATTTTTCAAAATAATTCTATAATTGTTTGTATCAAAATAATCCTATAATTGAGATTGTAAGAATTTATACGTATAATTTAACGCGGATTAATCTAATATGAACGTTAAAGTAAATCGATAAACAAATTTTGATTTATCATTATGTTAAATAAATTAAATGGAAAGTCAATAACATTTGATCAAGGAACATTCCTTTCATAACGTCAAGCGGATTGAGTTCTCAGCTGCTCTCGGAAACCTTAAGTATTAGGATACCTTAGTATATACTGGGATATTCTAATTATATGAACAAATAAAGAGCTTTATGAGATCGGATCATATTTTTGTTGACCCTCATTGACTTTCATTGTGATATTTCTTTTTTTACGAGAGATATCAGATCGATATTTTAAATCCTCTGACGAGGATTTAATTCGTACGTTAAATACTTTGACTTTAATCATACAATTATAATTTTTATGACAAACGACGTTTCATTCTGATCGTTCCTAATAGAAATTTCCGTTGAACTTACAACATCTTGCAAAGTTTATATACCAATTTGGTACTTGACTTTTGGGAATTGGGTTATATGTAATGCGTGTTTCGATCGAGACGCAAGATTGTCGTGTTTTTAGGAGAAACTTTCCCTTCTGCTGTTCCCGATTAAAGATAGAATCAGACGATGCTCGATTTCTTGAATGATAAGTATGCATGCAATCATGCTTGCTCTGATGTATGCTAGAATTAGAATTCGTTCATACATCAACCGCTGCATGCTGATAATGTATATTAATGCTTGATATACATTAGAGATCCCTAAGTCTGTATATAGTTTTGTTTATTACGTAATATTACGCAATGTGGTGCAATACCGATTGATATCGTGATATGATCGGATTCGAAGAATTTTCAGAGAATATCAGTTCGTTTGTTCGAGATTAGTCTTTGTAACTGATGGTTACTGATGGAACACGCCAAGTAACGATTATTTTTATTAATATTGTTAATACGTATCGCTAAATTCGTTTGTTTTAGTTATACCCTTAGTTACACCTCTCGCCTGTATCTTCTCCTACTCTCTAAAGTTTGATTTTATAATTAATATTGTGTAGGCATTGTGTAAAACACGAACGAAAGTACATCGAAGTAAACAGTCCCAGTTGGTGCCCATCAGTACCCATCGGGCTAGTGCCACCTATCCAGCACTGAAATCAGTCCGAATCAGTTTCGATAGTGGTCGAGCTGGCTGGGTTGAGAAGGCTCAGCACAAACGCGTCCCTTCTGTCGAATAAGGATAGGAGAACTGAGAAGACGTGTATACGGAGGAAAGGAGCCGACAGTAAAGGGTCGTAGCGCACCGAAAAGAGAGGGACTATCGTCATAGCGATTATGTGGAATGGCGCCGAGAAAGAGGCATGCGGTGATGCGGTAGCGGTAGAATCTAAGAAAGGCGCCGAGATTGCCGAGAATCGCTCAGCCAGTGACCAGCAACAGTTCGCGAGCAACAACACTGCCAACGTTCCCGTTTCGGAGGAAGGGATTCAAGTACGATCTGTTTTCCCGCAGATCGCATCGTTCGAATCCTGTCCTAGGATGGCTGACGACAACATGACCATCCCCGGGGACACGGATGAAACAACAATATTGATACCGCCTCCAAATGTCGCTGAATTCCAGATTGAATGCAAAACGGAACCGGGAACTGAATTGGGCAACTCGATCGACGATGACCCATTGGTATTTGTAAGTGTGGGAATTTATGAATTTGCTCCGCCAATCGTATCACGTATATATAATGTCGAAATGGTCATTATTTAAATTTCAGGAAAATTTGGTTTTTGCCCCGTTAAAAAAGATATTAAAAAATGCTATCGTTAGTAATTATTTTACCGCGCTTTCCATGTTTGTGTTGGTTAGGATACGACTCGATTGCCAATGTTTTGTATTGTTATGTGTTTGATTATGTTACTTATTGTTTATAATCTGTCGTTATTTACGAGAACAGCCTAATCTGTACAACAATCATTCGTTTTTTGCTGGAAAAACTTCGATTACTTACGATTTTTGGTTATGTTTCTGAAGCTTGTGTTACAATGTTACATAATTATGTGAAATTACTAGTTTTTGTTTTATTTTAATTAGTGTTTACATTAAGATGTAAAACACAAAGAAAGATAAACAAAATATATTATATGTTATTGAAATTATATATTTTCTATTACAGAATGAATCCTCAATACACATTCCGGTATTCGCACCTATGATAAAGGCTCCAGTTGTTTTATTGGAGAGATGTGATAAAATTTGGGAAACATTACAATTAATAAAGACTGTACAGGTTGAGAAGCCAGCAGTGCTAACTAATGATGATTGTGACAAAAATGAAGAGGAAAAAAATAAGGAGAAAGTGCAGCATTTAGATAAGGTTGAGCAATCTGAATCACATGTTAAGAATCAACCTAAATTGAGAAGTGATAACACAATACCACCTTTTAAAGTTTCTGTCCTAAGAACAAAGAAATTATATCCTTGCGCTATCTGTGGTGTCCAATACATGGAAAGACGATCCTTAAGAAAGCATTCGGAAAGAGTACATGGAATTGTCATTCCCTTACAACGTAAACGTTTGAAACAGAATGCTTTAAACAAAAAAAATTTCGATGGAGCCAGTCAAGTTTCTTCTATTAGTAAAGAAAATAACAATTCTGAAAAGATTTATGATAATAAAGATTCATGTGAAAAGGCCACTGCAAAGACAAAACTTACCAATGTTGAAACTACTACTTCACTGCCTGCTCTATCAGAACGGTTTGTCAAGTGTACATTATGCCAGCAAAAAGTATTATCTTTAAGGAAACATTTAACTAATTATCATAAAATTGGAGGTTCTACAAGTGTAATGGAACAGCTAGAATCATCATTATTGAGTGAGCCTAAAACATCACCCGAAGATAAACGAACTACATTAAAAAATGACCCACATCAAGATGGATTTCGCTTAATGGACAATGAAAACGATATTCCTAAAACGTCTAAAGTCCAAGGGAAAAGAAAGTATAAATTGTCTTATCCTAGAAAGAAACGCAAGTTGAATAATGAACGTTATGCATTTGTTCAGAATCCGCCCACCGTCGCAAAGAAAGAAATTTTAAATGCTTGTACATATAAATGTGACATTTGCTTAGGATTCTATAAAACTGCTCATGGTTTGTACAAACATAAACGCATTCACAAATTACGTGGAGAAACTAAAGAAAATTTTCATAAATTTCCATGTAGATACTTTAATTCACCATTTAATAAAAACTACAAATCATTGCAATCTTCCACAAAGTCTGCTAACACTGTTGCAAACAATGCTAACAATAGAATAGATGAAAAGGCTACATCGCAATTAAATAATTCCAACCGTAATACATTGTATAATCAAAATAGTCCAATTTCTAATCGAGCTATTCGATACAATGAAAGAATTAACAAAAATAATGAAACTACTTGTATATGTGGAAGATCATTTCGAAATCCTCATACCTTGTTCCTTCATAAAAATAATTGTGACTTATGTCAAAACGAGGATATAGTAAAGAGCACTAGGGTCAGTAGTGATAGAGACTCTGGTATTGGCATTAACATAACAATCAAGAAACGAAATGATTCATATGAGATAGTTGGTAAAGATGACGAAGATAAACTTAAAAATTCTCAAACATGTCTCAAAGAAGATACTTCATCTATGTCTTGCACATCTAATTATACCAAAGATTTCACTAAAGCATCCGCTAAACAACAAGTATCAAATATATCTGATTCATCTAAATACAGTAAAGATCATAGTATTTTGAAGTTAGAAGATACAGATGAAGATGTAATCATTGATATTGAAGACGATGTACAAACTGCTCTTGATGAAAATAATACAACAAAGATGATTGCACAAGGAAACGGCAAGCAGAATTCGTCAAAGCTGGAAAAGGATACAAAAGATGGAAAAATTGACAAAATTTGCAATGAAGTCAATACATTAAAGCAAATGTGTCAAAAGGTTCTCGACATTCGTGAATCTAGGAATATAGAAAATAAGAATAAAGACTATAACCAAATTAAAAAACCGTGCAAGGAAAATAACCAGGTTAAAAATCAAGATATACATCAAAACAAGCGGCAATTACGATCTACAAATAAACGATATCTTTATTCTAAAATGGAATCGGATTATTCTCATAATGAAACAAAGGTTTGTACGATGCAATTTAAACCAATGATATGTGGATATTGTAAGGAACAGTTTAATAATATTAAGTTATATGATAATCATCAGTGTACTGTTATAAAAGGCAGATCATTCGATGAATTTTCGCTACAGTTGCGGTGTTTTCTTTGTAAAGAAGTGCTAAATAGTTACAGCGAATTTGATGACCATATGAGATTCAAACATTTTGATCATGGCTATCGTTGTTTCCAATGTCCCGAACGATTCACAAGTGACAAAGGACGATTATCTCATTTTCATTTAGACCACAAAGATTTGATTTGTAGATTTTGTAATAAAAAAATTACTATTTCCTTAAAGACTCCACACGAAGGTTATCATTTAGGCTTTGGTTATCCCTGCCATAAATGTAAAAAGGCTTATACAAATAGTAGGAATCTTTCTTATCATAAATATACGATACATTTTAATGGAGCTGATAACTTGGTAACTTGTACTATATGCTTGAAATCTGTGAAACTCAAAACTTTCCGTGGTCATATGAAATGTCATAAGCACAATGCTTGTTATTTTTGTGGCAAAGTATTTTCTGATAGAGTAGGTTTAGAATACCATACCATGATGAATCATGGTACAAATTCCAAGTTAAAATGTAATATCTGTGGTACGCGATTTTATACTAAGAAACAGCTTGAAAGACACGAGAAGATCGATGGATGCAATAATGGCATGCAACAGAATGAAAAGCTGAACTGCAACAGAATGTGTTGAGAATGTTTTGTTGTTAATAAAAAATAATAGGAAGGAAACGAATCAACAAGGAAAGGCTCCTCTCGTGAAATTAGAATGAAATTAATCCTCGAAGACGAGATGAATTTGTATTTCTCAGCTATAACTTTGAAACAAAGTATGATAGCATAATTTCAAAACAACGTTGTGTCAAATTTTGCGAGTCGTCCCTCGAACACGAGTCTCTATCCGGAGCGGACGCGGCATCCGCCGGAGTACCACTGTTTTTGCGTTAACTACCAGGTCTACAAGGTCATACAGATGCGCAATTAAAAGTTAATTTTATCGATTAATTTTTTCCTAATTGTGTACAGTTTGTATATGTATAAAATTACGCTATCATACATCGTTCAGAAGTTATAGCAAAAAAAAAAAGATAATTACTGATTTTATCCCGTAAACATATTGGTTGTTAATTTTGAAAAAATATGTTAAAACGTATTAAATATTTTCATCCCTTCTGCAAACCCACCAAGTTTTATTAAAATCGAAGAGGAACATCTGGGAGTCTTTCCTTGCAAGACCAGAATTGCTATCACAATTGAAACTTATGATGAATAATTTTCAAGCTAGTTACGATGTGCGAGAGATGTGTGTTTGCGTTAGACTGTTATTTTCAATATGTGTACACAAATTGAATTTCATAATTTTGATGTATGCAAGTCTTATAGCGAATTCAATTGGACACTCTAGTATACATTAGTACGTATTAAAGCCATTGTACACTAATTTAATCTATGTAAAAGTGATACAAATATTACAAATATATTGAAGATTTCATGATTTAATCCATTATTATACTTATATTAAACATATATTTTTCACGTCAGTTTGTATACAATGGTTTTAATGTCCACAACAGCGTGCACTGAGTGCATTTAATCGAATTCACTACTCTACATTTATATATATAGCTGACACATGTAAAATAGCAAAGATCCATGTATTAAATTATTACATCTAAAGCATGAATGACATTTTTTAAAACGCATGTATTTCATTATCCGTTAATTGTACAATTCGCTGAACAATTATATTTCTGTATAATATTAATATCTTTGCAAATTAAATTTTACGTATGCATTTTTGTTTTAAATAAACGAATTTATGGCACATATTTCATATTTTTACAGAAAGTAGTAACTTAAATTTTGTGAGACATGAAGATTACATAACTATGTTCGCGTATTAACTAAATTATGATTTATTTGTAATTGTCAATATCTTAAATATGTAACTATATGCATAGTAAAAGTGCGAGACCCTAGAACTCCCATAATATAAGTTTGGTGAAAGCGGATAAAAAATGACGGATTACAAATATTGCTTTCTTTCTTACATGCACAGGAAGAGTAAGACAATTGTTCATTGTTCAGTAAAAAAATAAAATAAAATACAAATATTACAAATATATTAAAGATTTTATGATTTAATCCATTATTATACTTATATTAAACACATATTTTTTACGTCAGTTTGTATAGGACGGTTTTAATGTTCACGACAGCGTGCACTGAATGCATTTAAAGTTAAAGTAATAAAATTGACAAAGTATTATCTTTTTGTAATAATTTATTTAAAAATGGATATACAGGATGTTAAAACTTACGATAAATAAATTTGTTTCAATAGTAATAACTAAATGTAAATTTACTAAATATGAGCATATATTTATTTAATACAAAAACCATTAATTTCATTATAAATATGACATTTTGTTTATTGAATAAATATTTACTATAGTAAATAAATGTTACTAAATTTTAGTAAATTTTTTTTCAGTATAGCCCTGTTATTATAATTTTGACATTTTTCTCATGAATACTATCATAGCCTCAGCATTTTGTATTAATCTTAGGTGAAGTAAGATCTTATATAAGATGAAAATTAAACTCGTCTGTTTATAGCTATCTGTTTCTTCACTCTCGTTTTCTAACAATTTATGAAGCTGTGACGTATATCGAATGAATCATAACAGACGACAAATCAGGAGGCTGCGAGTACTGAAAATCTGTAAGTTCACATTGTACATACTACAGACTTTTAGTATTCACAATGAATAATGGAACGCAGCCTAAAAGTTGAGCCACTTTCGCCAAATTTTTAATACAGAATCTCTATGAGACCACTTCTGTAAATAATGTATTATTAAAAAGTTACAACGATAGTAAATAATATTTGTAACACTTGTGACATACGAAACATTTATATTATTAAATTAGAAATGATAGAAAATTTATCAACATATGTTTAATTTCATTATTTCTCGTAGAGAAATGTTTTGAAAATACCATATCTGAACGCACCATTTATTTTTAAAATTAAGACAAAAAGCTCTATTAAGCCAAAGGGATATAATCTTTGTGTACGTAAAATACCACTACAATAAGTTCTGTAATTGAACTGTACATTGCGTTGTTCGTGATACAGATGTTATAATTTTATAACATTTATTAAATCATACTTATTGAAATAGTATATTATGTAATATAAGGTATAGTTATATATTTTGTGGAAAATGGAATTTAATAAACAATTTCATACTTTTATTTTTATCTCAAAGTTAGAAATAATTTTGTTATTTTATTGAAATATTTAAAAAATATTATACGTTTGTTTAGTTTGTTGCAAAATTGTTACAACAACTGTATGTCCTTCTCTCATCCCTTTTATATACCTAACATATTTCTGAAAATTAATTAGCTGACGTCAACTTTACATTAGTGATATTTTTGTGTATGTTATACAATAGTATAAGTATTATCTGGAAAACTGTGTTACAATTTGCAATTTTCAGCAATAATAAAATTTGTTTGCAAATTTGTATATATTGCATTTATTTCTAAATAGAATACGAGTTGTGGAAAATTGAAGATTGAATTTAATAAGCAATTTCATACTTTTATTTTTATCTCAAAGCTAGAAATAATTTTGTCATCTTATTGAAATATTTAAAAAATTATACGTTTATTTAGTTTGCAAAATTGTTACAACAAATGTATGTCCCTCTCTCGTCCCTTTTATATACCTAACATATTTCTGAAAATTAAAATTTTTATTTTAAAATTTAACGCGCGAGAATGTATTATAAATATTCTCAAAACGAAAAATGGCTAAATCTTTTTTATTTTATAGAGATTAATGAAATATACAATGTTCTCGCTCTCCCTCTCTCTCTATATCGTTTGATTAATAAGAGCTTCCGGTTTCCCCTCCCCTCCCCCTTCGCCGGAGTTTTGAAATAAATAAAAAAAAGAAAAACAAAAGAAGGAATATTGCGCTGCATTACCGGCAGGTGGCGCGACTATCGCGCGGCGTCGCCATCGATGACAGCGGCAGCGATCAAAGCCGTGCGGAGTATCCGGGAGAGCAGTCGCTTTACGCTCGGTGCTTTCCTCGTCGCGCGAATTCTCGGAGTCGGGAGTCACACGTATTACGTTATACGTATATACGTGTGCGCGCGCGGTTCGCGGCAGCCGGGTCGATGTGAAGAGGAGAAGCGAAAAACGCGAAGGGAAGAGAAGTAGCGCAAGAGCGAAAGATGACAGCTCGGCGTGTGATTTGACAAGAGCAGAAGATAGCGTCCGATGGGAAAAGTGCCCTGTTGAATACCGCGGTGGTTGACGGACTAGTGAACTTTTAAGGTATCCGCCGCGCGCGCAACCCTGCGTATGTAAACTCCTTCGGTTAGTGCTCTTTCTCTCTCTCTCTCTCTCTCTCTCTCTCTCTCTCTCTCGTCTGCTGCTCCCCTTTTACGACCATTCGCGCGTTAGGGTAGCGTTCGAACGTAATCGCTCGATAATCGTGCGGATTCGAGGCGCCGCGCGTCATCGAACCGCGGTAAACTCGGCCGAAGTGCGGGAAAAAGGGTTCGAGAGATCGATCGCACGCGAAATGTACTGCGCCAAGGAACCAGATCCGTACGACGCTAATATATTATATACATACATATACCTATATATACATTCACATACACATACACACACGCACGCGCGCGCGCGCGCACACACACACACACACACACACACACACACACACACACACACACACACACACACACACACACACACACATATGTATTGCACTTGTGGGTGTATATACGTATTAAAAAATACATGTATACTTTATGTATATGTATGTATGCGCGTATGTGTGCGCGTATAGAAACTAGCCAGTGGAATCCCGGTTTAGTAATTGCGGGATGTAGCATGTCGTTTTGCGCTGTTCTCCAGGTTTTCCTGTTTCCCATCGACGACCAATCGCGCCTCGCGCAATCCGGTTCGTTCCGATCGCCGATGACTCGGAGCGTCATAAATGTTTGCCGTTAAAGAATTTGTTCCACGGTATCAATTACAGAGAGTGATGTGTTTACTACGACAAGTATCAATTTTCTGCCAATGCGAAATTTCCAACTGTAATTACAAACGTGATAATCGCTTTTTTTCTCCCGTTACTCTCTTTCAGTTCGATTACTTTGATCTTCTGTCCGCGGAATCGTTTAACATTTTCTACGTTGCTATGAAATTATCGAATTACAAAAGATGCTCCGAATAAAAATAATTTCAAAGTACTAATTAGAAAGTCAATCATCGGTACTCCAAAAGTTTACCTGTGACTTACGTATTACGTTACGTATATTATCGTCATATATGTTAAGTCTTTATTTTTACAGTGCAATTATTCTTGAATAAAGACCTCGATATTTTACATCTACATTACCTATAAGTAATGAAAATATAATATTTATGATTAAACATTTCTAATCTCCCCCTTCCTCTTTCTCTCTCTCTTTCTCTTTTTAAATCTCTCTTTCTTAAACTGTTTCAAAAGAAATTTCAGCGCAGAACAAAACGCGCGAATATAAAAATAATCAAATCACGTTCTGAAACATATGGGCGACTGTTTAGAGTGGAACGTACCGAATGCGCACCGGAAACGAACGGTTGAAGCAGCGGGGCGGGGGGC